TTACTCCAAAGTTTATGTAAGTACAAAAGAATCAGAACTGCTGAGCTTCTCCCTCTACCTTTGTGTAATCATGACATCTCATCCTGTTAATTCTATATTATTTTCACAGATTTGTGATGAATGGTTAGTGGGCTATTTGGACAGCTCTCAATTTGATGATGACCATTCTATCTGTTAGTACTATAATGTAAATGACTCAATTTACCAATGTATTTCAACAAATAAAATATTTTTATTCTTAAAAAATAGGAAAGATTTTAGGAGGTTTTCTTCACCCCTTGAATGTGGATACATATAAATTCAAGGGAAGAGATAGAAAAGACTGAGGATTCTCTTCAGAACAAGTTTCTATTGATTTTCAGCCAGTATGTACTTTGGCCACCTTTCTCACGTGTGGTCACCACATTTTCTGGTCTAAGGTCAGGACCCGTAGATTGGTAGAGGAATCATCTTCCTCTAATACCTTTGAAAGACCTCCTGATTTGTGAATTTCTCTAGCAGAGGCTATGTTGCTTTGTGCATTTTAATAGTTATTGTTGTTAAGTGCCGTGGAGTCACAGGTGACTCATAGCAATCCTATGAACGAAAGTCCTCGACACTTGAGTGCATGACTTTCATCCTTTTTCCCAGTTCATAGCGTTTCTGGAGGCAAGCTATTTACGGACGTGGATGCCACTCCTGCTTCCAAGCTTGTTTCAACCGTGGAGCACCATCAAACACTGTCCACCATGGGTAACTGTTATTGCATTTGACACAGTGTCACAGTGTTCAGCTTCACAGCGATCACAAGTTACCTTTGTATGGCAAGTGGACGCACCAGGGCTACACGACCTAGAAGACTGAACAAAAACAATGAAAAACCTTAGGGCTGCAGATTAGAGTTGCCCACTTTTGTCTCGATAGTGTCACTTTTGGTCCACTAGGCCAGCTGGTCTCTGTGTTGTTAAGTGCCGTCGAGTCATAGGCGACTTATAGCGACCCTATAAGCGAAAGTCCTTGACACTTGCATGCATGACATTTAATAGTAGGCCCATGAAAACAAGGAAAGAATGTGGACCTGGGGCAGCCTGTGGAGCCCTTGTGCCCTCTCATAAGAGCCAGAGATTGCAGTACCGACTCATAAAGGCAGCCTCGGGCTGTCTGAACCAGTGTCAAACTACAAGTGAGGCAGCCCCTCTCCCTGAATTGTCATTTCATGAAAGTAAACACTGAGGTAAACACTTCCATACATAGAGGTATCAGTGGAATGAAAGAATGGCTTTGGAACACACTCATTGCTGAATCCCAGACTTAGCCTTGAGGAACATGCATTCTGATGTACTGGTGCATGTGGGCGATTTAAAAATACTATTGTCTTTTTATGAAATAAATAGTCACACTAGGGAGGTTGTCCTTCCTAAGAATGCTCCACCCTAGTAGATCACAACAGGCAGCATGTGTCCAAGAATACAACTCAGAAGACAGGAAGGGAGAGGATGGAAGGATGAGTGGAAAGGAAGGATGAGGATTCAGGGAGGAAATGGAAAGAGTTGTGACTACCATGGAGGGGAGAGTAATGGAGGTCATAGAACAAAATGTGTATTAGTTGAGTAGAAAACCATTGTGCCATGTAAGCTTTCACTGAAACAGTAAAGTTTTACAAGGACACAGTGGTCTTTGTCAGGTTCATGTAAAAAAAAAATTTTTTTTTACATTTCTATATAGAAGTTCTTTTGGGTAAGTGTAAGGTAAACTTAGCTTGGATGCAAGTGTAACCCCACAGCCTTCACTTAGCATTGGAGAATCAGAACGAAAAATTACTTGATTGTGCTTATACAAAACCTGTATTTGGGCCAAGAACAGAGCAAGGAAGCCCTGCATAGTTCCAAATCAGGAAAGGAGTGCATCAGGGATGCATCTTGTCCCTGTCCATTTTCAATCTGTATGCAGAACAGATCATTTGGGAAGCAGAGCTTTATGAGGAGTGTGTCATCAGGATTAGAGGAAGAGTCATTAACAATCTATGCCATGCAGATGACACAATCTTGCTGAAATTGAGGAGGATCCAAAGCACTTGCTGCACAAGGTCAAGAACTGTAGTCTTCAATATGGATTGAAGCTCAACATCGAGAAGACAAAGATTGTCACCTCTGGGACATTTGGTAGCACCATATTAGAGAAGAGATTGAGGTTCACAATTACAGCTTGCTCGGATCAACAATCAAGACTCTTAACACCAGCATTCAGGATATCAAAAGATGAATTGCATTGGGAAAATTGGCTGTCATGGACCTCTCCAGAGTGCTGAAGAGCAACGATGTCAGGGTAGATACAAAGGTGTGCCTAATCCAGGCCATGGTCTTCTCAATTACTTGTTATGCTTCAGAGAGTTGGACAAGGACTAAGGATGACAGAATAGATGCCTTCAAGTTGTGATGCTGGAGAAGAGTCTTGAACACATCATGGACTGCCAAAAAAAAACAATTAAGTCTGTCTTGGAGAGGGTGAAGCCAAGTCTCCTTGGAGGCTAAGATTTTGAAGCTCCACCTCACTTTGGGCACGTGGCCAGCAGAGATAGATCCTTGGAGAAGGACATCATGCTCAGAAGGGTGGACGAACAGTGCAGGAGAGGAATACCCAGGATGAGATGAATTGATATTGTAACTGAGGTGATGGGAGTTGGTATGTCGGAGTTAGTAATAATGGCTTAGGACTGGGAAGGGTTTGCAGCTGCTGTACACAGGGTTGCTATACATTGCAAGCGACTCAGTAGCATATAAAAGCAATAACATACTATGACAGATTTGGAAGCAGGAGTGGCATCCACCTCCTAAATAATGTGCCTCTGAAACTCTATGAACTTTTGATAGATGTTGATAGTCGTAGAGGGGCTTCAAGCCTTTTGTTTATAGGGTTGCTATGGGTCGTTCTCAACTCAAAAGCAATCAACAACAAGTGTCAGAATACAATTTTCAGATTTTAGGCTTTTGCCATTCGCAAGGGCTCTCAGAGGGAGACCTGAGCACCTTAGAACTCGAGCCGGTCCCCACTGCCACTTGGATACAAGGCCAGCTGTGGTCATCAGTGTCTCCGCAGGCTTCCTCGTCCTTTGAACCAAAGACCTTTTAACTTCTGACTACTTCCCTGGAAGAAAAAGAAACCCTCGAGCTTACATGCCTGCATGTGTACAAAGAAGTTTCCAGCACCTGTCTCCTTGTGTGTCTTCATCTGAGCAGCCTCGAATACAAAGAAGGATGTCACTGGTTTGATCCCATGAGACTTCAAGATCAACAAGCCTTCCTTCTGGAAGGTTATCCAAATGCCAGACACTGAACCAGGCAGCACACAGCTCCCCACTGCAGGAATCAGGAGGCCCACCCTCTGACTGGTGGGTTTAACACGAGGTAGAGCAACAGCATGCACTTGGATTCTACTTGTCAGGCTATATGGTTTTAGATTTGAATAATTATTACTCCTGGAGGCATGGTGTGTAACATGTTAGGTGACTAAAAGGTCAGTGGTTTGAAGCCACCAGATGCTCCCAGGGAGAAAGATGTGCACTATCTTCCTGGTAAGATTTACAGCCATGGAACCTGGTGGAGGGTCACTGAGTCAGAATCCACCATCAGCTCTGAAGAAAGATAGACAGTCTCCTTAGGAGTTTAAAACATCAGAAACCCATTGGAGGGTCTATTAATTGGCTCTGGCTCAGCAAGTTGAGTTTTGCCGGGGGTGGGATGTTGGGGGCAAAGACATCAATTTAATCTTATTCTGTAGTTTTAAAAAAATTCTCTTTAGCATCCTGGCTACAGTGAGGCCTCCATTGACAAATGGTACATATATGTAAGGCTCACATGGGCTCAGACTTGAACAGATTTTTCCCCAGAGTGGAATTCATCTGTTGAGTCAGCAGTGCCTTTCCGAAAAACGTCTGGTGGCAAAATGGTACACATTCCTTTGCCAAACTTTCGCCTCCCATTACTGAGGTTCATTGAGACACTTTGCATTACTAGTGCCAGCAATTAAACCTGAGCACTGATGGGCAGAAGTCAGACCTGTATCTGGTGCTTATTCTGATCAAAAGTATACTCCTGTCACTCCAAAGGAGGCCAAGACGTGTTCACGTTTGAAGAAAAGCAGTATCAAGAGGCCAAGACTTCAAGAAAGTTCTAATACTATGTAGACATAGGAAAGAACCTATAGAGCCGAAGTGCTCACTTCAGCTGAGGAGGCCATAATGGCATTCTGGACAAGAATTTCTTGTCACCTTTGCTGACTCTCAAAGCCATTGCAAACAGGATGAAATCCAAGGGACTTCAGAAGCTTCGCTGGTATTGTCAAATGTGCCAAAGCAGTGCTGGGATGAGAATGGCTTTAAGTGTCATTGTTTTGTTATTATTTAATTTAATGAAAGGTTACAGAGACTTAGAGTTTCCAGTCATTCATTGTTGCACTTTTATCCCTGCCTACCCTCTACCCCCCAACTCATGTTTCTCCTTGATGAGTAAAAGAAAAACTCTTTCATTGCTATGCAATCCCCCCACCGCCAAGCCCACTGCACTGTGCAGCCTTCATTCTGGATTCCTGTCAGGACAATAATTCCTAATCATACATCCCTTTTAAATAGTTCTCTCCCTCATCTTTTGCAATGCCGTATACATCATTCCAACCCTTCTTCTGTCTTCCCTCAACCCTAATGTCAGTCCTGTTTTTCAATAGTGGCCCTGTGCAATATTTGTCCTTTTGTGACTGAGGTCATCCGCTTAGCATAGTATTTCATTAGTTCCTGGTTTTTCAGTGCTGCATAGTATTCCATTGTGTGAATATACCATAGCTTCTCTATCCATTCATTTGTCGATGAACACTTGGGTTGTTTCCAGCTCTTTGCTGTTGCAAACAAAGCCACAATAAACATAAGTGTGCATATATCTGCTTGGGTGGCGGTCATGGTTTCTTTGGGGTATATTCTTCAAAAGCAGCTCATCCTAAGGCTGTGAACTCATGTCACATTCCTACTGCAGCTGAGACCTTTTTGCCAAAAGTCAGTGGTAGATGGTGTATGGTCCATGGCAGAGTTCTCCCCTCAGACATGGATGGTTGGGTTCATGTGCAGTTCCACTCAGATCATGTCTGGTGCCAGACAGTCCTAGAAATATATCTCTTATTACAAACCTATGTTTTTCCATCTTCAGAAATAGAAGATAATATGCTGTGTCCTCAATGTGTTCAGAGGAATAAGAAGATAATGAAAAGATTACTAGCATTGGGAAAGGGTAAAGAGCCTGATGTGGACACATCAACACCACTTCTTTTGGAAGGGTAATGTCTTAGTAAACAACAAATGGAGAATCTAAATTCTAAATTATATGCATCCCAGTGATTGCTTCATAGTGCCATCTGATGCCTCAGCTACCGATAACACCTTACACAGGCTTGAGATCTGCCTAAAAGGTAACTGTTTTTGCTTTCTTAATGAGTCAAGATAAGAGGTTTCTCCATCAATTCCATTTCAAATGTTTCTCTGTGTATTGGGCTCCTATATTTTTTAAGTAGTATTCTGCCATGAAAAAAATAAACGAGTAAATATTTTCCCTATTAAGTATTTAGATTACAATTTACTTTTATTCTTTTCAAAACAATATGTTCACGATATTTCTTAAAAGTACATAATATCTTTTCATAGTTGTGAAATGGTTCTCATTACTAAAAAAGAATTCTTTGTGCAATTATTTTGTGTCTGTATTTGTACAATAAAGTTCTTAGAAGAATTAAGAAAGAACATTGAATTTCTCCTCAAAGTACTTGTACTCCTCCAGGAATATGTTGATGACCATCTGGGTGTGGCAATGCACACAATATGTAATCATTCATGGGTGTTGTGGACTGAAGATGTCCAGGCTCTCCTCCAGGGTGATGAGCATGGACTACACATTCAGGAACGTGTACATGCAGTTCTGCTCCGGCTCTGAGTTGCTGAAGTATTCAGGAGTAAACCACAGACTACACCGAAATTTTATTATTTTTTTAAAAAACTGGTACAATTAATGTATTACAAATGTTGAACAGCCTCTTAGACCCAGGCGTTCCCATAGAGAGGTTGGTGGTGGTTCTCCACCGCCACTCCACCCTGTCCCCCCAGACAAGTTCTAGAAATGGAAATTATCTTCTATCTCTCCTCAGTGTAACCTGACCCCCTCACTCCTGACCAAAGGCTCCCGGGAAGTGCTGTTCACCCTAATTCTTTTCTCTCCTCCATGAGCTTGATCTGCCTCCTGACTGTCCCTCTTTGAGCTGCCAAGAAAGCCCTTCTCCAGGGCTTTCTGCTTTTTGCCATTGCTAGCCTTCTGAACACCAGACCAATTCGGGGTAAGTGGCTGTGGTTCTCCTCTCTTGGATCTCCTGCTCCATTTGGACTCTAAAAAGTTCTGGTGCCAGACCAGGAAATCCCTTGGTCTCTTAGGCCGGTCTCTCTCCGTGCTGGGGACACCCAGGCTGTGAGGAGACCTTCTCATGAGCACAAAAGGATATAAGAGATGCCTTATTACCTTTTAGTCTCTCTGGGAACCCCCCACTGCTTATCTCTTTCCCAGTGATGGGAGCTAGCCAGCCCTGCCCTTCTAGGTACACTTCACTGGGGGTGTCTCCTTTGCTCCCTAGACATGCCATAGCCACAATAAATAGGTCTCATAGCCCTCAAATGGGACACTCAAATTTAATACTCTGAGATGTCAACAGTTTCTCCATCACAATGGCAAATGGTCAGAAATCCCCTTCAGGCCTTCTTTGCTCTCTACCCTTCCCTCAACAGCTTTCTGTCTGTCAGAAGTGCTATAAACTCCTTTGACTTTGTAAGCCTTTCCCCTTTTCTGATTGAAATTCCCTCGCCTTTGATCCCTCTGATCTCTCAGCTCCTGCTCTCCCACCTCAACCATATGTAAATGTCACCTCACCACAGGAAGCTCTTTCCTCTTCTCCCTCTAACCCAAGCCCCTACATCTCCCAAATTAAAAAAAAAATTAAAAAAAGAAAAAAAAAAGTTTGGGCTCCTTCTCAACAGACCCAGACACTTATATCAAAGAATTCAAATATTTAATCCAGTCATATGACCTCACCTGGCACAACCTGTATATAATTATGACTTCCACTGGACTTCATGAGGAAAAAGTTTGGCTAGCCTCCCAGGCACATGCTGATGATCTACACAAGATGGGCAATCACCATCCCATAGGCGCAGCAGCTGTGCCCTGGGAAGATCCCAATTTGGATTACCAATTGAACATGGCCATCAAATGTAATGTAATGGTTACTTGTCTAATAGCTGGACTACAAAAGGCAGCCCATAAAGCAGTCAATTATGAAAAGCTCCAAGAAATATCTCAGAAATCTGATGATGTCCAATTTTTATCTAGATTAACAGAAGCCCTCCAAAAGTACACAAATCAGCTCCTGTTTGACAGAAGGCATATTAGTTTTAAATGCCCATTTTATATCCCAATCAGCCCCGATAGTCAGAAAACAACAACAACCAAAAAAACAACAAACAAACAACAAACACCCCAACAAACCCCAAAAATCAAAACAAAAAAACCCACAGGTCTTCAAATCCCTCCATGAGATCTTCTGAACATGGCATTTAGAGTCTATAATAGAGAAGAGCAAGAACAGGCAGACAAAGCCCAGAGAGGTAAGGCTAATTGCCAGCTCCTGGTGACTTTCCTCAGATTCCACCTGAGCCCTACTTTAAATGTGATAAAGAAGGTCATTGGGCTAAAGCGTGTCCTATTCCCTGACCTCCACCAGGACCTTGCTGCAGGTGTGGAAAAAAGGGACTTTGGAAGGTAGACTGTCTCCTCTCTTTCCAGTGGAAGGGACCAGTCCCTACAACTCACCAGTCAACTACTTCCCAGCGTGATCTGGGCCTACACAGCCAGCTGGGCCTGAAGACTGAAGGTGCCCAGGGCAACCGGCCCCCTCTATCACCACCTTGGAAGAGCCTAGGGTAGCCGTTGAAGTTGCAGGAAAACCAATCTCCTGTTTAATAGATACAGGGGCCACTTACTCTGCCTTACCTGAATTTTCAGGACCAACTTTTCTCTCACAGGTTTGTTGTTGGAGTTCATGGCCTTGTTTCTTCACCCTTAACCCCTTCTCCCCTTCCCCGCCAAATACAAGAAGTCCCATTTTCACACTCCTTCCTCAGTTTACTTCAATGTCATGCTCCTTCTAAGTCAAGACTTACTCTCCAAATTAAAAACCTCTCTTTATACCTCCTCATAACAAAATCTAGCCCTATTCTCTTCTTATAGTCCTTGTTCTAGTGTTTGTTTACATCCTTACTCTAAGCAGAAGTGACTATTTACCATATTATTAAAATCCATTCCTTCTAATTCTTACACTTGAAAACTCATTTTTTACTATCTGACAAGTTACTTGTCCTGTGTCTTACAGTCCTCTCCCTACCTTGGTCCAACTTAGGTCACCCACCTTGTCCCAAAAACCTATTACTCTGTCTTAACCTATTTACTCTCATCTTACAAGTCTGCTACTCTCTGTACACAAGGTAGGTGCACTTTCTGGATAGGACAATTAGTAGTTTCCAGTAACCACAGCTCCAGCTCTTGTCATGGGCATGCAGGACAATCCAAGTTTTGGATCTAATTTTATTAATCTTAATAAAGGTCCTTGCCTCATATGATTTCTCTCTAGTTTTCAGGAGTGGATGAGAGCTTTTACTAATCACATGGTCCGTGAACTTCTCATATTATCAACTTAGTCTCAACCATTGCATATATTTGATAGTGGTATTCACTGGACTTCCTTGTATGTGTATAGATATCCTGTCACTGACAATATTGTACTTTAAGATGGATCTAGCAATGACTTTTTTAACTATGAAAGCAACTCCATTTTACCTCACCTTTTCATCTCCAGAGTAATATATCGTATGGTCATCCGACTCAAAATGTCCCATGCCAGTCCATCTCATCTCACCAATGCCTAGTATGTCAATATTTATGCATTCCATTTCTTCCTTAACAATATCTAATTTTCCTACATTCATGGT